TCGTACTGTGGGTGACAGGGCGTTCAGTGTTGCGGCCCCCACCCTCTGGAATGCACTTCCTGCTGAGATCCGGAACGCTGCCTCACTGGACATCTTCAAATCCGCACTGAAAACGCACCTGTTCACCCTGGCCTTCGGATCCTAGTCCTTTCCTGGTCCCCCGGCCTACTTTATTTTATTTTTGTTTTGTTTGCTCCTCTTTGTCTGTTTTGTTTTGTCTGTCCACCATGTACAGCGACCTTGGGTCCCTTGAAAGGCGCTTTATAAATTCCATTTATTATTATTATTATTATTATTACAACATCTTCTGTATAACAAGTGCTATTTGCAATGACCTAAAAATGGTTTTCAACGCACAAGGTAACCCTTCTCTTGTGTTCGGTCATACTATACTATACCCAATCTATTTTCGGTCAAAATTGGCCGATGTGTTTTGCACAGTGATATCTCTGGAACCCCTTATCCAATTTTGATGATTCACATCTAATTTGAACAGTCAAAGCAAGTAGAATCAAGGGGTGGCAGATAGAATGACACCAGGGGTGAATTTCATGTTATAATTTTGCAATAAGTCAAAGATAGTGTTTACTGTACATTACTATAGAAATGCTTGCCATGTAGGCTTTGTTTACTGGAGATGGAAATGCTTTAGTTAGTGTTGTAGCTGAGATTCTTCCCGTTCCAAGGATGTATGGGATGTATTGATTTGATACAAGCAAGCCAGTGTTTCATTGTGTACTTTCAACTACAGTATATGGTCCGGCAAGCTCTGCATTCACTGTGATGAATATAAAATAAGACACTGACACTCAATGAACATTTATTGAAAATAAATAATCAAAAAAAGACCATAACAGAACTGGGGGGGTGGGGTGGTGTTTGTGTGTGTGTCAAAATCAGCTGTTTCTCTATGTATTCCTTAGAGCAGGGGTTCCCAAACTTTTCAGCCCGCGACCCCCAAACTAACAGTGCCAGAGACTGGCGACCCCCGACGGGATAGTGATCTCCAGTGTGCTGGGCAGTGTGTCGGCGGAGGGAGCCGAGGGCACCACCGGAGGAGAGGCGAGCGATGACAGCAGCATCACCGTGTTGCAGATAGGGCAGAACGGGGAGTGCCTGGGCACGGCCCGCCCCGCCCCTGCACAGACTGAGGGGACTTGTTACACGGAGCCCATCACCGGGGAAGCTGCCGGACCGAGAGTTTGATCCTGCCTGCGGCGGGAGGAAGCGGTCTGCTCGGCCTGCCCTTGGCTCTGGGGTCCCTCCTTAAACAAATAAATAAATACCTTTTAAATAAAACATTAATCTTAACAGATAAGATTTGATCATTTATTTTAAACGTCAGGCCTACAGCATGGCCACAAACCCCATCTAAAGACAGAGGCTCTGTCCTAATTACCTGATTGCATCCACCTGGGTTACTTGGCTCAACCCGATAACTTTATATCATTTCACTTTAAACCACACTTAAAAGAATAATATAATTATACATATGTACATGTCGACAGTATAGCAACTAATACATGTTTTAAATAAATAAACATTCAAATGTGAAAGACACCTTCAATTAATATTTAAAACTTACACAAAATCAGATGCTTATAAAAATTACAGTACATGCATTGTTCCATCAGTCAAGCTAAGATATACATATATCTTAGCTCTTAGCTTGACATGCTCGTTCAGTTAGCATGTATGCTAACTGAACATGCTCAGTTAGCATACATGCTAACTGAGCATGTTCAGTTAGCATACATGCTAACTGAACATATATACATATATATATTCCATTCCTTGAAATTGAATATTTAAAATACAAATTAGCAAAATAAACACAATTACACTGCGCTAAACAGCCACATCGACAATCAGCCGAGAACCTAAATAGTAGGCAGTGGCGGTTCTAGAACATTTTACATGGGGTGGCAAAGGGGGGGCAAGAGGTCATGCCAGGGTGGCATGGGAGGGCGGACAGTACGTGGTATTTTATACTGTATATATAACCTATTTATTGTTAAATCATGCCCTTAAACAAGTGTTCTTAATGCACAAGAGAAACCAGGTGTTCAGACAAACAAACAAAAATATAGTATAAAACAGCAGAAAATACTCATTACTTTTCATTTAGCTGACGCTTTTATCCAAAGCGACTTACAATGACCGATTACAGGGACATTCTCCCTGGAGTAACTGAAGGCTAAGTGCCTTACTCAAGGGCACACTAGTGGTGGTGTTCCAGGCGGGATTTGAACTCACAACCTTCCAATCTTCAGCCCACTTCACCCTAGAACTGTGTTTACTGTAAGTACAGTCAAAGTACTTAGTTATAATGAAGTACACAAATGACATCACCCATCTCTTCAGAAAGCTGAAGGTGAGCTGTGCAGCAACACATTTCAATATGTGTCAATACTAAGAGCTGCTAGATTGTTCTGCTGTGATGGAATATGTGAGGAGAATAAGAACATAGCATGTGGTCCAGCTGGAGTCTCCTCTGCCTCCTGACCCCTGCCTCTGGCCCTCTTTCTGACACTTCATCTGCATTCCTCACATACATGTCTTCTTCCTCACTAATGTCTTCATCTCCTCCTCTTCCTCCTGCTCTGACCCTCCTGGTCTCTTCATCTCCTCCTCTTCCTCCTGCTCTGACCCTCCTGGTCTCTTCATCTCCTCCTCTTCCTCCTGCTCTGACCCTCCTGGTCTCTTCATCTCCTCCTCTTCCTCCTGCTCTGACCCTCCTGGTCTCTTCATCTCCTCTGGCCTGCAAGAGTCTACGTGTGAAAAGCTCTGGTACAGATGCGTGTCTAACTTCACACGTTAGGGCCATGTAGCTGATAAGTAGCATATCATAAATATAACATCAGAAAGTATTTATCAAGCGCACACAGGCAGCTGTGTTCAGACCCAGTTTGACGTAAAGGATGTATCCTGGTTTCATTGATCTGGCCTCATGGCTGTGATGTGTAATTTACGTGGATTTAATAGTACCGCATAGTTTAGCAAAGTGACCGATCTCCCAGCTAGCGCTGTCTGTGTAGTATTTTGTAACGTAACGTCCCAAACAGCGCCCGTATGTTAAACGCTATCGATTCAAACGGCAGCGTTTTATTAATATTTTGTTTCAAACTCTCGTCTTTAGTAAAAATAAAACTAGTGGAAGGGGAAATGCTCCCAGGGGAAGCTGATCCACCTTCAGACGCGGGTACAGCTCGTTCCCTCTCCTCTCTCTGTGAGCCGCGGCTCACAGAGAGAGGAGAGGGAACGCCGCTCTGCAGTTTAATGCAGGGCCGTAGCTGCGTTTTTAACGGGACTAAAATTATATTTAAAATTATTCACTTTTAATGAATGAACTGCTTGTTTCGTTGATTGAGAATCTTGTGGACATAGTGTAGGTTTGTTTCTACAAGTTCAGTTTTAGGGACACAAAAGCTAGGGGGGCAGCTGGGGGGACAAGGCTCTACAGTGTGGGGGCAAGGGGGGGCAGCTGCACCCCCCTTGCCCCCCCCCCCCCGTAGATCCGCCCCTGATAGTAGGTAATTATATCTAAAACCACAAGACGTTAATTACCTGTACTCGGTGCGCCATATTGTCTGTTCTCTCTGTAAACCTCCAAGTCTCTTTAAATATCCTTGCGTCAGCGTTTTGGGCGCGCTCTCTTCTGACCATATTTGGAAGTACAACTTCCTACAACTTCCTACAGGTTCAACCTCCACCATCTTGCTGCGGCTGCAACAATAAAGACGTTAAAGTTTATTTACTGGAGTTTTTTTCAACGTGAGTCTTATTTTTGTAGCTCTAACTTCCTGTTGCTTCTGTTTTCAAACCCTTTAGAAAATAGGATCATACGTTGTTTATTGCAGAAGATTTTAATCGGAAACCTTTTATACAATAAAATGAAGCTGCTAATATTTAATCATTAAAAAATAGTTTGTCATTTTTCAAGTGTCTTAAATGTGAGGAAATATTATTATGATTATTTTCAAATCAAAGGACTTATTCTGATTTATTTTCAAAGTGTGACAAACTTTATTAAATATTTTTTTAAAGCTTTAAATCTTTAGTTAAAACACTTTTTTTTAAATAAAATTCCAAAATGTAGAAATAAAATGTGAAAGGATGACTGAGAATAAAGTCAGCCGTCTCCAGACTGACTGAAAGTTATTATAATATCATCTTTATAAAATAATTTATTAAGTTTAAGGTATTTTACAATCAAGAAATGGAGCTTAAAGTACGTTTTCAATTATACAAAATCTACACATTTAAAATAAACTTCTATTAATTATTTAAAAAAAGTAAATTATTAAATATGTAAATCAACAAATAAATAAACCGGGAAAACAAACTTCTAAAAAATATGTTTAAGAGAAATGATAAAACTTCAGCGTTCTCCCGTGAATAAAACCATTTCATTTTTTAAATGCATATTTCATTTTGTGGGATCGTAATCATTTACACAATATTTAATATATAAAACTCAACTATTTTAGTGTCTTTGATGTACCTCTTTTTCTAGAAGCTTGTGTGTGTGTGCGTGTGTGTGTGTGTGTGTGTGTGTGTGTGTGTGTGTGTGTGGGTGTGCACATCTTTTGAAGAAGCTTACTTTGTTTTTAATTCATGTTTTTAATAATAATAAGCAGTTTGAACAAGTGTTACAAGTTGAATCACATATAACATTACTGCTTTTAAATCCTCCTCTTTTATCTCAGTAAGCGCAAAAAAAAGTAATTAAACCGACAAACAGGAAGTAAACACTAAAGGGAACAGCAGAAGAAGACAGACAGGAAGTAAACACTAAAGGGAACAGCAGAAGAAGACAGACAGGAAGTAAACACTAAAGGGAACAGCAGAAGAAGACAGACAGGAAGTAAACACTAAAGGGAACAGCAGAAGAAGACAGACAGGAAGTAAACACTAAAGGGAACAGCAGAAGAAGACAGACAGGAAGTAAAAAGGCACAGTATGGGCTCTGCAGTGTTTTAACAAAAAGACTTGGACAGTTAGAGAATGTGTTTTTATAACATGTGTCTCCCCCTGCGCTGCTACATCAGTAGAACTGACCAATCAGGTACCGGTAACAACTCAGTACCTGACACCCATCTCTAGTTACAGGTAGCAACATGCAAAACTAGCGGGGGCTTTCACACACACTCCACGAGGTTTAACTTCAGCTCAAGTTGAGCTCTTTGTAAATATACGGGTCTATCTCTCGGAGAGCATTGATCAGAACCCTGCAGGCTGCAGCTCCTTTTTGATGCACCGTGTCCACCACCTCTCGTGCTTTATCAAATTGGGGTTTCCCTCTGGCTGATGTCATTTCAGAATAAGTGATCACTTCCCGCTCAAGAAGTTTATCCAGAAGCTGTTCCAGAACAGCTTGAGACACTCTGTTAATGAACTCTGTCCGAACTGAGCGCAGCATCTGGTCTGCTGGGACTCTGCTCTCTGCTGAGACATTTCTCTGGGACAATTCCTTCCTTGGATCTGGAAGATAAACAGGGAAAATACTTTTATTGAATAACCAACAATCACATTAAACAGATCTCTTAACAATTAAAGTAACCCAACATTCCCAGAGGTGGATTTCTGTTCACTTGAAGTTATAATATGTAACATTTCCTCATTAAAATGTATAAAAACTCCTACACCGATGTTATTCATGTTTTGTTGAGTTGTGTACAAACATTATCTCAAATGGTTCAAAGAGACGTGTAATTGTAATCATGGTAACAGTACGTTCACCAAGGTCTCCTGTAATGGCGGTGTATCCACTTAACCATGAGAAGCTGAAGACTACAACTCCCATGATGCCATGCTGTTTCACCACCATACTAGTTTTTACTATAGTTTAGGAATATTACAGGTTGTGTGTTTAATGTCGTAATGATGCGCTGCCATGGAGCCTTAATAGAGAATGCTATGAGATGGAGCTTTAGAGTTATCCAGTCTATCACTGGGTCTGAGCCAGAGTCCTGCATCGGGTCGGGTACCTGACGGGTGACCGGCAAAAAAAGTGATTTGCGGCCGCTGGTGGTATTTTTTCAAACATTGTTTTTCGGGTTCGGTTCTGGGTAAAACAAAGAAGATGCGGGTCGGATCGCGGGTGTTGCATAATAAATATATTAAAATAATAATAATTGAATTAAATGTTTAAATCCTCAGACCTCTCCCCCGCGGGACCGCGCATAATCTGCACCGCATCAACCTGAACCGCATCAATCTGCTGCTGAGCGCACCACATTGGAAAACTGCGGTCAAGCCAGCCTCCACTTGGGAAAACGCAGTCAAGCCAGCCCGCACCTGATATTGCGGCGCGCGAATATCCTATGCATTACGGTAGAGTCCTGGAAAAACTGCCTTCAAAATAAAAGCGCTTACTCGGTCAATAACAAATACACCTAAAAAACATGCCAAACATATTAAATTAAGAAATATGTACTATATAATGTGATCAATAATTATTTAAAACAAACTACGTATAACTACCACATTATAAATGAGTGAATGTAAAACTTAAGGAGTTTCAAAATAAAAGACCTTTCAAGTCTCATATATGAGCTATCATCTCTCTGTTTTTAGATAAGAATAAAACAAAAACTCTCCAGTATCAAAGACTCATTTCACTCCAGGGTGATAGCAGGACACCCCTTCTAGTCACTCAGAGAAAAATCAGGACATTCTGATGTAGAGTTTCAAAATAAAAGACATTTGAAGTCTCTATTGTATGAGCTATCATGCCTCTGTTTTTAGATAAAAATAAAACAAAAACTCTCTAGAGTTTCAAAATAAAAGGGATGATAGCTCATATATGAGACTTCAAAGGTCTTTTATTCTGAAACTCTGCATCAGATTGTCCTTATTATCTCTGAGTGACTAGTTGGGATGTCCTGCTATCACCCTGGACTGAAATGAGTATTTGATACTGGAGAGTTTTTGTTTTATTCTTATCTAAAAACAGAGGGATGATAGCTCATATATGAGACTTCAAAGGTCTTTTATTTTGAAACTCTACATCAGAATGTCCTGATCTTTTCTGAGTGACTAGATGGGGTGTCCTGCTATCACCCTGGAGTGAAATAAGTCTTTGATACTGGAGAGTTTTTGTTTTATTCTGATCTAAAAACAGAGGGATGATAGCTCATATATGAGACTTCAAAGGTCTTTTATTTTGAAACTCCTTAAGTTTTACATTCACTCATTTATAATGTGGTAGTTATACGTAGTTTTTTAAAAATAATTATTGATAACATTATATAGTACACATTTCTTAATTTAATATGTTTGGTATGTTATTTAGGTGTATTTGTTATTGACCGAGTAAGCGCTTTTAATTTGAAGGCAGTTTTTCCAGGACTCTATCGTAATGCATCGGATATTCGCGCACCGCAATATCACGTGCGGGCTGGCTTGACTAGGTTTTCCCAAGTGGAGGCTGGCTTGACCGCAGTTTTGGAAATGGCTGAGGTGAAGCTCTCGCAGAATACAGCATTGTCAATAACTCTTCCTCAAGAGCGAAATCCAACGTCTGGGAGGCTTTTGGTGTCGTCCTAGATGGAGAAAATAACCAACATCCCACGCTCATAGGATATGCGCAGGGGCGTCTTAGTGGGGGGACAAGTGGGACTGACTACCCAGGGCCCAGATGGGGGGAGGGCCCTTGAAAGGCATGGAATTAAAAGTTTGGTTTTATTTCAGTTTTCTTTTAGCAGATAGTGTCATAACTAAAATGAAACTAGCTCAATAAAATTGGAGTGACTGAATTCTGTATCCAAAAACAGATGGTGAAGGCTATCCGGGACCCCTCACAAAAGGACAATAACGGTTTAGTCCTCCCAGCACTAGTTGTCCTTAAGCCCCGCCTCCCAGCCGCTGAGCCGCTCTCGGCTCTGTCACATGAATGCAGGAGGGGAAATAACTCTCTGTTTTCGGCTTTAAGCGCATTTGAAAACTTTTACTATTTAATGATATAAATAAGGGCTATTCATGTGTTCATACTGGAAAGTTGATTTACCTCAAAAAAACATTATAAGATTTACGGACGTCTCTTTCCCGATGTAATTCAATGAGAATTTGCTTCAGCGCCTGGCGAACTTCCTGAGTGGCTTGCTCTAAAGGTAGATAATTCAACGAAGAAGTAGAGGGTCAGCTAATGATTTTGCTAACAAGAAGACCTGTCAGTGTCATTTACTGGGGAATGAACTCCAAGAGAGTGACGAGTCCTAAAACCAGGAAGTGAGTTAGCATTTGACCAATACTGGTTCCCTCGTCTCAGAGCCAATGGGATCTCTCCATAGGATTTAGGAAAATATCTGTAAATAAGGTCTGTGGTTGAGACACATTGAAGAGACGGATCACGTTTTGTTCTAGGACATTAAATCCATCAGCAGTGACCCCACTGGTGATTTCTGAAGAGTTCACGTGTCTGAGAAACGATGGTTGTTACCAAGTGGCTGAATAGGACTACAGAAGTCGTGGAGGCCGTTGTACGTCATTACGCCGAACACGTAAACACTCCTCTAAGTTTGTTGGCCCTGTTCTGCTTGAAAGCAAGTACCTGCCTCCTGCAGACTGTTCAAACAAACACTTCAACTCGTACCATTTAGAATCTGTATGTTTGAATATGGATCTGAAGTTGGCGTGACGTTGAAGTCGTGCTGCTGGACTCGCCTGTAGTTCCTTGGTAGCATAACGTTAGCATTTTGCTTCTGGACATTAGATTTATGATTCGAACATTATAAAATTATCCGGCTGAACAAAACGAAGTTAGACATTCTCCATATTTGTTCAATAACTGCAAGATCAATCATATTATCCAAAGCAGAACTTGTAAAGATTTCTCAGCTTTCTAAAGTTTTAATTATTTAGCTTTTTGGCATATATGCTTTCAGATTTGTTGTGTGTTATTGATTATGCAAATAAACATGACTTGTGAAGTCTTGTTCAGTTGTCTGTTATTATGCAGTATAGTAAGCACTCTCTCAAGGTAGTGGTTACAAAACTAACATGGTGTTTTTTTTGTTTTGTCTTATACCGTGGGAATGATAAATACTTAAATAAGCATGATACTCAAAGCAAACCTCATTTAACCACAGTAAAGTAATTGTAAACTACAGTATGTTTAGGAAAGAGGGTTGAAATGTGCACAGATTGTTATTACTTCTATTATGACTATTTAGACTTTAGTTCTACTTTAGTTCATAACCGCTTCAGATTCATGTGTACTGTTGTTGGCTCAGTCCTTTGTAAATACATTTTAAAAGGTGCATTAGAGACATGGATCAAGAGAGGGAGGGGGCCCCACAGAGATAGCTTATGTATGGGGCCCGGAGTTTTGTGCTACGCCCCTGGATATGCGGGTTCGGGTCGGTTTGCGCCGTAAGAAGAGAGCCGTTCAAATTCTCTAGATCAGCGGTTCCCAACCTTTTTCAACTCAGGCCCACTTAAGAATCCAAAATGTTTTCGCGGCCCACATTCAACCATAAACAATACGGAGGATAAATAAAGTTCTGATTGGTCGATTCAGAACATGTGACACATTGTAAATCCAGTAGAACAGACCGTTGCTAAGGACTGTAATGACCGTTGCTAAGGAGGATCAAGAAAGAGAAAGGAAAAGAGGTTAAAATTGAAAAGAATCTTAATAATGAAAATGTTTCCACACAAATCATAATGTTTTGCTAATTATTTGGCGGCAAATATTGAATTTACATTTACACCCTTTAATATTTTATTTGGGCTTTTAGATGAAGACCGCACACAGTTAATAAATACAACTATTCTCCTGGCTAAAATACATATTTTTAAAAGTCAATCAACGAGTAATCTTAATTTAAGGTGTTTGAAGAGTAGATTAAAAATATCAAAGGGTGGCTCAAAACGCCATGACATGGGAAATAATGAGCTCTAACGAAGAGTTAAATAATTAAATAATTTGGCGGCCCACTTGCAATGCCTTCGCGGACCACTAGGGGGCCGCAGCCCACAGGTTGGGAACCGCTGCTCTCGATGATAGGAAAGGAGGTTTGATGGATGCAGATTAGAGACCTGTTCAACCAGTTATCCAACAACAGTGTACATTGTTCTAGATGTACTATAAACTGCATGGGTTTGCCTTGAGCCTTTCAACATTTTGACTCTGATGAAGAAAGAGTAGTGTCAAAACTAAACTGAAACTGTTTTCATTATCATAAGAGACAAAGAACACAGTCTGTGCTAAATGTATCCTAAGTTTAACACGATTAAAGGACTATGTGTTTAACTGCTCTATTAAATAGTTTTGGGGCGAAATGTAAAGCCACAAAATCTATATTTAAATATATCAAGATGTTTTCACAGCAGAAATGTTGACATGCTGCCACAGTCAGAAAAACACAGTGCACATGCCTACAGTTTTTTAACCCAAGGTCATTTTTGAATACATGAAAGGATGTGTGTTTGTTTGGGTAAAACAGGACATCAACTCACTGTTACTGGATCCAGGTTCTGAGTATTTAACACCTGTAGCTGCCACTGAAATAACAAAGAACACAACGTTAGAAAGTAATATGATGGAATTACAGTTTGACAGGTTTCCTGAGGTTTGTCATGTTTTCTTTATTTCAGAGCTTGGGTTTGAGCACGAGAGTACTCATGATTTAACTCACTTTTAATGTTTATCATGTGAGACAAAGTCCACAGTTCTCCTTTAGTGCTAAATTGTACGTTTAACAATGTTTAGTTAATGCGTGTTTAACTCGTATATTACATTGTTATGAAAGCACAAGGGAGGGTTCAAAGGTCTGCATATGAATGCATGCAAAGAGCTTTCCTTTTTAACCACAGATATTTGGATTACAAAAAAGGACCTTATTTTTTTAATTTTTTTAGATAAATCATTTCTTATTGAGTTACACTGTATAACTAAATAAGGATATACACTGAAGATGACTCTAGACTAGAGGAAGTCTGGCGTGTCCCTGCCCACTATAGAAAGGCGGTTACATTTCCTAAACTGTGTAGAAACATAAGAATAAAGGCTATTTCAAGTAAACCCTCATCGATTAAACGTTGTTATTTGTTGCTGATTAATCTGTTCTTCAGTCCAAAAAGTTATATTCTCATTCTGCATCAAACCATGAAGTACTCACACAGTTCGTCTGCTTCCTTTTTGCAATTAATCTCGTTCAATAACTCCGCAGCCACTTCGACAGCTCCGGTATCATTGAAAGTGGAAAGCAGAACCTCTGTGATCTCAAAGTAGTTTTTTCCCTCCACCCTGATGCGTACGACCTGCGGCTCCCCTTTGCGGTGCATAAGCTCGTTGCAGAAATTGTCAAAGTCTACCTTTGTCAGGGTAGACAACATGTGTTTTACAGCCTTTCGTTTGTCCATTTTTCACCAACAGATGTGGGACTGCCGTGACTTTTTCTCCCTGAGCAGAAGCAGAGGACACAGAGTTTGCTTCCCTTCTCCCTCTTAGGTGCCTTACAAACAATGGACGTCCGCTCTCGGGAGCGTCGGAGTGGTGCGGTCACCCTAAGTGACAGACCTAAAGTATCCGGGATTCAGGCATCTTCCCTGGCTTGTACATTTTTGGTGATGCGCCCTGGAGGTATCAGACTATTTTAAACAACTTTTCCCCGCCTTTCAAACACTTATTCCGAGGTTTTAGCCAGTCATTTTGCACGAAATCATTTAACATTGACGGTCTCCTGAAAAAGCACATATTCTGTGCATTTTCAGGAGAGCGTCTATGTTAAATGATTTCGTGCAAAATGACTGTCTAAAACTCTCTTCCAGACATTTAAAAATACTTTCCCCGACCATTTAAACATTATTTCTGGCTTGTAAAGTGCAGTTATGCGCCCTGGAGATATTGCACTATTTACAAAATGTAGCACTCTGTTTATTTCACACCTCCAGGAGAGACCAGGGGGAAATCACCTCTCTCTGCCCGCGCACAGAGCCCCGAAGGACGGACTAGAGACCTCCAGCACCAGTCCCTAACAGTGGGACTCTGTTTATTTCACACCTCCAGGGCGGAGACCGGGAAAATCACCTCTCATTGCCCGCTCACAGAGCCCCGAAGGACGGACTAATTACCTCCAGCATGGGCCCCTAACAGTGGGACTCTGCACCTCCAGCAGAGACCAGGGGGAAATCACCTCTCTCTGCCCGCTCACAGAGCCCCAAGGACGGACTAATTACCTCCAGCATGGGCCCCTAACAGTGGGACTCTGCACCTCCAGCAGAGACCAGGGGGAAATCACCTCTCTCTGCCCCCTCACAGAGCCCCAAGGACGGACTAATTACCTCCAGCATGTCCCCATAACAGTGGGACTCTGTTTCTTTCACAGCTCCAGCAGAGACCAGGGGAAAATCACCTCTCTCTGCCCCCTCACAGAGCCCCAAGGACGGACTAATTACCTCCAGCATGGGCCCCTAACAGTGGGACTCTGCACCTCCAGCAGAGACCAGGGGGAAATCACCTCTCTCTGCCCCCTCACAGAGCCCCAAGGACGGACTAATTACCTCCAGCATGTCCCCATAACAGTGGGACTCTGTTTCTTTCACAGCTCCAGCAGAGACCAGGGGAAAATCACCTCTCTCTGCCCGCTCACAGAGCCCCAAGGACGGACTAATTACCTCCAGCATGGGCCCCTAACAGTGGGACTCTGCACCTCCAGCAGAGACCAGGGGGAAATCACCTCTCTCTGCCCCCTCACAGAGCCCCAAGGACGGACTAATTACCTCCAGCATGTCCCCATAACAGTGGGACTCTGTTTCTTTCACAGCTCCAGCAGAGACCAGGGGAAAATCACCTCTCTCTGCCCGCTCACAGAGCCCCAAGGACGGACTAATTACCTCCAGCATGTCCCCATAACAGTGGGACTCTGTTTCTTTCACAGCTCCAGCAGAGACCAGGGGAAAATCACCTCTCTCTGCCCGCTCACAGAGCCCCAAGGACGGACTAATTACCTCCAGCATGGGCCCCTAACAGTGGGACTCTGCACCTCCAGCAGAGACCAGGGGGAAATCACCTCTTTTTGCCCGCTCACAGAGCACCGAAGGACGGACTAGAGACCTCCAGCACCAGTCCCTAACAGGGGGACTCTGTTTATTTCACACCTCCAGGGCGGAGACCGGGAAAATCACCTCTCATTGCCCGCTCACAGAGCCCCGAAGGACGGACTAATTACCTCCAGCATGGGCCCCTAACAGTGGGACTCTGCACCTCCAGCAGAGACCAGGGGGAAATCACCTCTTTTTGCCCGCTCACAGAGCCCCAAGGACGGACTAATTACCTCCAGCATGGGCCCCTAACAGTGGGACCTCCATAACCTTGCACACCCTGAGTCCCCGGGCCCCCACAGTTAAGCACTCCCCCACGGACTAAACACAGGTATTCACACCCACCAGAACCTCGTGCCCCTGGTGACCTTACAAGGGGGTGGTTTTATGGTGCTTCTGTGTCCGCCCATCAGCATCCATATTCGGCCTTCTTCACGGCATCACCCCCCCTTCTGTGGAGGGTATTCTCGTGCCCCTGGTGACCTTACAAGGGGGTGGTTTTATGGTGCTTCTGTGTCCGCCCATCAGCATCCATATTCGGCCTTCTTCACGGCATCACCCCCCCTTCTGGGCTGGAGGGTATTCTCGTGCCCCTGGTGACCTTACAAGGGGGTGGTTTTATGGTGCTTCTGTGTCCGCCCATCAGCATCCATATTCGGCCTTCTTCACGGCATCACCCCCCCTTCTGGGCTGGAGGTTCAAACACTTTAACTTTTGTTCACCCTCCTCTGGCTTACACCTCCTCCGCCAACACTTGAGCGCTCATCACAGGGTTCAGCACCAAGGAGAGTGCCTCCCCGGTGCTGATGGAAAGTGGCACTTTTTCTGCCCCTGGTAACCATCAAGGTTATTGTTTTTTTTTTATTTTTTATTTTATTTGAACAAAAAACACAGTACACAGTACAGAGAGGCTAAAACATTAACTATTTACACGTACTACTGCTGCTATAACAGTACTACTAAATTTCTTAACCTACGTTTTAAAGTGCAGTTATGCGCCCTGGAGGTGTTGCACTATTAACAAAATGTATGCCCAGGATTCTGGCACCTTTCCTGGCTTGTAAAGTGCAGTTATGCGCCCTGGAGATATTGTACTATTTACAAAATGTATACACAGGATTATAATAATAATTATATACACGGTATACATATTCACAATGTTTAGCGGGATTCAGGGGACCAAATTAGGCGTCTAATTCTTACGGTGCACCAGGGCAAACAGGTTGAGTCCACGGCCCCTGCCCCATCATCAGGAGTGTCAACCAGCCCCGGTCCCGACTTCATTGGCCTCTTTCCCTCCCGCTTCCGCTTCCGCTGCTGCTGCCACTCCAATGACCCATCAGGTGAAGATGATAGAGCTGTACTGTTATAGCAGCCCTCTTCGGAGGTCTCCCCATCTGACAGCGGTAGACATCCTTCTGATGATGATGCAGCTGCTGCCGCATCTGATGACGCCCTGAACATGGAGCGGATTCTCAATGCCTCCTTTATACCTGGCGCATTCGCGTAGAACCGGTCCGCCGTGGTTACGTCGTGACACATAAACCTGGCGAGAATCGACCGGCTTTCTGGATCTTGGTGATGCTTGATATTGTCAGCCAGGGCAGTGCGCAGGATTGTGAAGGTGACGGCTGTTTCTAGCCCAGCATCAGCCCATGCCCTCTTCAAGTGAGCGTTCAGGTTCTTGGAGGCCCGATTCCCCCTTGTGAAAAGGAAGAATTCATTCTGAGGACCCAGCAATGCCTCTTTAATCCCCATCCACCGCATGACCCAGCTAAACTCCTCTACTGTAAGCGCCAGCTGTGCTTCGCCATATGTCTTGGCCGTCTTGTGATCCTGCACATGGATGATGTAGCCCTCAGCAGTTCCCCTTATGGCTGCCTCTAAGACCTCACTGTTTTTCATGTTTGCGTACACGCCCGTACGGTGGCCATACAGGAGGCTCCAATGGAGGGTGAGATAGCCATAGAGAAGCTTCTGGGTGGTTGAGGTCGGCGTGCCGGCCATCAGGTCGAGGAGCTCCGGGATGCGCTTCTCAGCGGCCGCCATGGCGGCGAGAAGCTCCGCCTGGCTCGGCAGACGATCCAGTTTGTTCCTCTTCACCTTAAACTGATGTAGAGTGACTGCCTTATTCAAGTGTTTCATGTTGGCTTTCACCTCTCTCATTATGTGGGTCATATCAGACTGGGTGAGCTTGCACCCCCGGGGCTTTGACTCAGACATGTACCCCATGAACTGGTGCACATTCTTCAGGAAGAACTCTGATGTTGTGACTGCCCGGCCCGGCTTTACAATATACTCGCTCCAGCCACGGATCATCTTCATGTTTCTTAGGAACAGCCAGTCTGACAGGCGGTTAACACCATGGGCCATGTATACTATGAAGTTCTTTATCCGGCTGATCTTCGACACAACATTGTCTTTCTGTTTTACTGTCGGAGCGACACCCAAACAGTGATCCAAGTATGTCTGAAGGTACGCCTCCATGCTTCTAGGCAACGTGATTTCACGCATGGTATTCCCCCGTCCACACCCAGTGGACCAGTAATTTGAGGGAGAGGGCAAGTCATTAGCCAGCTTAGAGGCACGGGTCTTCCGGCATACAGGGGTCTCGCTACCGGAGGCTACTGCAAACATGACAGTTTCCACCGGGGTCTTCACAGGGGTCTCGCTACCGGAGGCTACTGCAAACATGACAGTTTCCACCGGGGTCTTCACAGGGGTCTCGCTACCGGAGGCTACTGCAAACATGACAGTTTCCACCGGGGTCTTCACAGGGGTCTCGCTACCGGAGGCTACTGCAAACATGACAGTTTCCACCGGGGTCTTCACAGGGGTCTCGCTACCGGAGGCTACTGCAAACATGACAGTCTTCCACCGGGGTCTTCACAGGGGTCTCGCTACCGGAGGCTACTGCAAACATGACAGTCTTCACCGGGGTCTTCACAGGGGTCTCGCTACCGGAGGCTACTGCAAACATGACAGTCTTCACCGGGCTCTTCTCAGGGGTCTCGCTACCGGAGGAAACTGGTAATATGACAGTCTTCACTGGGCTCTTCACAGGGTTCTTGACCGGTCTCTTTCCACCGGAGGCTACTGCAAGCATGACAGTCTTCACTGGGCTCTTCACAGGGTTCTTGACCGGTCTCTTCCCACCGGAGGCTACTGCAAGCATGACAGTCTTCACCGGGCTCCTCACAGGGGTCTCGCTACCGGAGGTTACTGGGGACTGCATGACAGTCTTCACCGGGCTCTTCACAGGGGTATTGCTGCCTGAGGCTACTGTGTTTATGCCGGAGGTATTTGGGATTGCCAGGCCCTTAAATCGTATACATTCGTCCTCTTCCTCAAGAACAGCAGCACTCTGCTTCCTGGGTTTTAGCTCCTTTTTCAGCCT